GAAGGCGTTCAAATAATAATTCCCTTTTCTTTTATCTACCTGACGAAAGTTAGAGTGCGTAAGACATTCTTCAAGGCAGCTCTGGATATACCAGATAGATCCATACGCACAGTACTGAAAAAGCAAAATAAAGTTGAAAATACCTTACTAGAAATGGATAGGCGTGGAAAATATATGGCAAGCAGCCTAGAGCAGATGAAGAAATTAAGGTTGATATCAGAAAGAAAATTTACATCATTCCAAAGATTGAGAGTAATCACACCAGAAATAATTCTTCCAAACATTTCATTAATGGGACCCAATCAATTGCAGAAATTCATAAAGACCACGCCGCCGACTGTAAAAACAATAATGAAATTAAATATGAAATTCATTTGAAAGAAAAGAATTTATTTCGTTTAGAAAAGAAGCAAGATAACATACAGGTAGTTTTTCAATGTCCAAAAGACGAAGTGTGAGTTTTTTATTACAAATCAAAATTATATGTGTGTTTAATTTGACTGTATACGACTAAAGGAATAATTCTAATACGACTAAAAGAATAAGAAAAGAAGAAATTGCCCGTTCCGCAGCCATTGGTAATTTCAAAATATAAGTACATCTGGTACATCGACCGTTACAGAGTTTCAATTAGGTCAAAAAAATGGTACCTATCTTAACCGGAGGGATGTACTACCTAGCTTTTCGTCGGTACTTAATTCAGGTTTATTTGAAAAAATATGTGACCCCCGTTATCGGAGGAGGACGGCCAAAATCGTCAACGGAAATATGTAGTCGAGTTTTAGATAATATACGTTATGACGGTAATGATCACTGGATTGTGGTTGCCGAAAAGCAAAACACATGCGCGTTTTGCAAGAAAAATACAACAAGGAAATGTGAAAAATGTAATGTCAACTTGCACGATTTCTTCTCTTCTTCTTCTTCTTTTAGAAGGCGTATCGCCTGTTTAGTTCCGGTTTCCTCCTCGTCTAAGCAACTCTTGCGAGGTTGACTGCCAACTGTCTTGCCAACGTTTAGGTGGTCGTCCAGTAGGTCTTCTGCCATGGGGTACGTTGTTGCGAATTATTATGGCCATTCTGTCGGGGCCCATTCTATTGACATGCTGGTTCCATTCTCTTCTTCTCTGCCTTATCCATCTGACAACGTCGTTTGTTTGGCACTTTTCTCTTATGTCTACATTTCTCTGTCTGTCCCTCAATGTGTATCCAGTTATCATTCTTAAGGTTTTCATTTCAGTAGTTCGTAGGATTCTCTTTGTTACTAATGTTTCAGCTCTGGTTTCCGCACCATATGTCATCACTGGTCGTATGCAGGTTTTATATATTCTTGACTTACATTCTGTACTCAAATGTTTGTTTTTCCATATGGGATATTTAAGATGTCCTGATATTGCGGCAGCTTTATTGGCTTGTTTCCTTACTTCTTCTTCCAGGAATCCTGAGCTTGTAATTTTGCATCCGAGGTACTCTGCACGATTTGTGTTTATAAAATAACAATTTATAATTATTACTACTTTCAAACTTTGCAATGTAAGTATTATTATGTCACGAATTAAGTGTTTTTCCATTAAATGTTTCATGCCCGGTGTTCCAAAAATGAAACAACATCTAAAACAAAAAATGTAAATAAAAAATCATATTAAACACTAAAGTTAACTTTATTGAGACCAAATAAGGTATTTAAACACAGAAATAGAGGTTTTATTTAGAAAAAAATAATTCGGGCAATAACGGGTTAAACAAAGAACGGCGTCAGAGTTGGCTTGGAAATGAAGATCGCTGTTATTTCATATGTAAAATACTATGGTAAATGTCAATAATCGTCATTTCCAAGCCAAATAAACGACTTTTTTCGATTATACGACATATTCAGTGCCTATAAAAGAATTTTTAGTTTTGTTGTTTATTCTATGTCTAACACGAATAAATTTTCAATACATAAACGCGGATTTTTTATCCAAAAAGATTTTCGTCAGACGTTTTACACATTTTAATATGGTAACACTGTCGCTTCCAGATCCACACCATCTTCAATATGCCTTCGACGGCCGAATTAGAGAAAATAAGTGTTTTGTGCGTTGACCGCAGAACGATTGGTGTCACCACCGTACAGCTCTTGAGACGTAAGGGGAAATCAAATCAGCCTTGTCACGAATTCGCCGATTAGATTGCGTATCTTCTCAATTCTTTCAATCAACGATATAAGCCTGTTTATATTGTCATCTTGTCTTGTAACCACGTGTCCAGAATACTGCCAAACACCCTCTTCATGCATAATGATGATAGTCTGGTGGTTAACTCTTCCAGTATCGATTGATTAGTTCTCCTCGCGGTCCAGGGAATTCTAAGCAACCTCCTGTAGCACCACGTTTCAAAGAAACCAATATATTTGCGTTCTTTAACTCTAAGCCTCCACGATTCTGAGCCGTATGAGAATATTTGAAAGACCAACGTTCGGACCAGATTCATTTTAGTGTTTTTGGTTATGTGAGCTTTTCCGTATTTTGGTAAGTCTCAGCATCGCACTCTGGGCCAAGCCTATTCTTCTTTTAACTTCCCCTACGCATCCGCACATGTTGCTTATTGATAATAGAGAATTATGGCACGCGCCGATAGTGGCAGTCACTAATAAAAACATTCTTATTCTGACATTAGTGACAGTTACGCATGCGCAGTTTTAACGACCAATATAAAGACGGTCACTAATAAAATAAAACCCTTCCTTATTTATGTCAAGATAGTGAAAGGCAGTATTTTGTCACAATTCATGTCGTTATTTTAGGCGCATGCGCAACAAATTTTTTTACAGATCTGTGAGTGTGCTTTCGTTTATGATCTTAACCTGTAGAGCGTCGCGTCGCGTCAAAACGTGTGGTTACCTTTTGCCTTTTGCCGTTTTTTTTGCCTTTATTTTTAATAATGAATAGCTTTAATAAGTCTACTAGGTTGCGATTTACCTACGAAGACGACCTGGTGTTATTGCGGGAGTTTTTAAATGTTAACCCCATAATAAACCTACGGTAAATAAGGATGGGAAATTATTCAAACGAATGTGGCCAGCACAACGGGGAAACCTTATTTAATAAAAACGCTGAAACAACACGTTCAACGCTTAATTGAAGTGTTTTTGAATAAAATTAAAGTTGATGAAATTAGGTAAGTTAAAACCATTAATTCAAATATAGATACACCCCTATAAACAAAGTTTTTTTAGATCGGGAATTGAGGAACCCCCATGTGAAAAAAATATGTTGCTCCAGGAAGTAAGTTCCCTTATACAGAAACATAAATATGATTTTAGGAAAAAGAGATCAACATCATCATCATTATCTAAGGATCACATGATCATGGAAATGGGGAAGAAAGCACGAGAAGCCTGTGCCCAAACATTTGGCGAGATAGAAGAAGGATTGGTGGAAGAGGAAGTTGTTCATGAGGTTCCAACACCAATGGCTGTAGATGAGCACTGCTATTTTAGTAAGTTTAATCTTGCAAATAGAAAACAAAGTAATGAAATATTAGAATGATATTAACTTATGTTTATATTGTCTTTAGGTATTAGGGGTTAATAATTCAAATTTTTAGACTACCACAAATAAAAATCCTACTTTTTTATTGTTTAGTACAGTTAATCAACTAATTTTAGTTGTTCCGATAGACTGACTATTACTCTTTTTAATTCACGAAGAGGCACCTCAAGAAGAAATTATAGTGGAAGAAATAACTCAGCCTACAGTTCCTCCCACGCCTAGTACTTCCAAGCAAAGTGAACCAACTCCTGCTTGTGAAAAAAAATCTTAGGCAGGCTTTACCTATAGTTCCTTATAACACAAGTTTACAAATTCGGGTCAACTTTTGGACCCGAGCAGATGAGAACGATTCTTAACGTTATTTGATGCCCTGAACTCAGATCTTCAATCCGTTTGTCAAGATTGGCTCTAGTTTTCGGTGTGGCCGAGTCGTACCCACTATGAGCCAGGACAACAAAATGTGTCCTCTGTACCACTTGTAAACCCACAGGACATTTTACTGCCACCTCTTTATATTAAACTTGGCCTTATTAAGAAATTTGTCAAAGCGCTCAATCGCGAAGGACCGGCTTTCCAGTACTTAACCAAGTTGTTTCCAAAACTGTCATATGCAAAAATCAAAGAAGGAATATTTGTCGGACCTGATGGCTGACGCAACGTTTACAAAATGTTTAACGCTTGGTGAGGCAGCAGCATGGGCATCGTTTCAAAGTGTTGTTCACAACTTTCTAGGTAATCTTAAATCACCGGATTACAAGCAAGCAATCGACAATTTGTTGCAAAATTACCACAAGATTGGAGCTCGAATGCCTCTCAACATACATTTTCTGCATTCACATCTTGATTTTTTTTCCACAAAACTTTGGCGATACGAGCGACGAGCAAGGAGAGCGGCTACACCAAGATATAGCTTAAATCGAAAGGCGATACCAAGGATTTTGGGACGAAGGCATGATGAGCGATTGCTGTTGGACCCTAATCCGTGAAACAAATCCCAAGCAGTATAAAAGACTCAGTTTAACCTCTCTTCATTTCTGATTTATATTGTTAATTCAATAAATGACTGTTAACGGTCAAAAATAGTAAAATAATGAATTTATTGAATATTTCGAAAACTAGAACCAATCTTAAAAAATGGACTGCTGATTTGGATTCAGCCCCAAAAATTATCTTAGAAATTGCTTTTAGTTGCTCAGGTCCAAAACTGTGTATACTTGTGTAATTATAACTATGCGTATACCCATATCATGATTTTTGCGTATACCCATTTTATTTTTTTAGTTATCCTTAAATATTGTTTATAGCTCAAACAAGGACTAGAAAACAAAAACAGCCCTTGAGAAAAAATGCCCTGCTATATTTACAAAAAAAAATGAGAGGGAAAATAATATTAAAATTAAAGAACTGGGAGTTGGAGGAGAGAAAAATTTTAATTGAAGAAGAAAAACTTTCGCCAAAACAGGAGGAAATGCGTTTACGAGAAAAAGAATTGGGACTGCACCACAAAGAGGTGAAGGCTAAATTAGAGGCTGAAAAAAATCGTGCTGACGTAGAAATTGCAGAAAGAAAATTATCAATACAATTGCTGCAATCGCAGTAAAATTTGATTGACCAATTACTCCACAAAGAATAAAATGTTTTTTCTACATAGATTGTTTTATTTTTTCAGTCGCTTTTTTTTAGTTATTATTAGTATTTATAATTAGCTCATTAAAATTAGTTGTAGGTATGTTAGTTAAGTAAAATGTAGTTGTATAAATAAAAAATTGTTATAGAAAAGTAGGTTTATTTATTGAAATCCAAAATATACATTTATGTTTGGTGGTACAATATTAAAACATGTTGCCGTCTGGCTTCCATAGAGACATGTATACTGTTTTTTTTTCTCAGGTAAGATTTCGACAGACGATGACAGAAGAAAAGCAGATGACATCCCATACCAATCTATTTATTTTACTAAAAAAAGTTTCTAATATTTTTAAGTTAACTATGGATGGGTTTAAATATAAATCCGTCATACGCCGTCTTCTGTTGTTTTTAACCAGTTTTATTGATTTATTTCAAAAATGACAAAGGATCATATTTCAATTGTATTGGTTTAGGGGAACGATGAACGACAAACGGACGCCCATGCGTATAAACTTGCCTCTAGATTTTTGGGGCTTGTCAAAGTCTTGCCAAATTATAGGTTATAATTTTGTGTCAACTTATGTCAAATACCCTGCGTTTTGGAAGATGATGCATTTTGATTCGTGTTATTACGTGTGTTTTGAGTCTTTTGAAGTCAAGTGGAGGAGGTGGCCGGCCGTAGCTTTAGCGGTAGTGTGTCGATCTGCGGAGCGGAAGGTACTGGGTTCGATCACCAGCCAGTACGGTCGCTTTATTTATTTAAATAAAAATATTTATTTATCTATATAGAGCGACCAACGAGCCGCCACCTCAAGGAAGGAAATGGCAAATAATAACCTTGAGTATATTTGCCTTGTACAGCCTCTCAAATAGTGCCGTTCGGATTCGGCGATAAACTGTAGCAATACCTAAAACACTCTGGTGTGAAGCTCTAAAATGATCTGTTTATGAGCTAAACAGACTCCCTACAAAAGCATTACAAAGAGGAATGACACGTTCTCAAATCTGGAATAATAGGAAAGATCTAAGCAAACTTAGAGTTTTTGGGTATACCAAATTACCAAAAGGTAATAAATTGGATCCTAGAGCAAAGACAGTGGTAATGGTAGGCTATTGCGGTGGTGGATACAATTTATGGTCACCAGATGAACAGATACAAATAAAATCCAGATATATTAAATTTGATGAATCAGTACCTAATGGAATTTAAAGAAAGAAATAACAATTAATAAAAAGCAATAAACAAAAGAGAGAACTATTAGATTTCCAGAACAAGAGAAAGAAAATGAAAATTTTCAAGAAAATATGCAAGAAGATCACCAGAACATTGACCCAAATGAGACTTTGTAATGAGGCAAGTGCATTTTTGATTAAAAAATGTAAGTTTTTTTTTAATTTAATTAAGTTCGTTTATGTTGTTTGATGTAAACTTTAAGTTATCTATGTTTTTTTCTTCGCTTGCGTTCATGTTTGTATTCTTTTTTTTTATGACAACCTTTTATAATACGATTAATTACTTTTTATACAATTTTATATCACAACCTTATAAAATTTAATGTTGTTTCCAATAAAAAAATCATTTTTTATCGATTTTACTTTTGAAAATCATGCGTTGCGTGTTGATTGAGAAACTGCCCCATCATTGAATAAAAATTAGCTAGTACCGAAAAAACGGGAAATGTCAGTTCCTTAAAGGCATGGCACCGAAATTCCCTGTTCCGAAAAACAGTTCCGGTTCCAGGAAACTCTAAACACCATATAAATAATACCGTATAATAATAATAGCTCCCGTATATAGCGTTTAACGCCTTGGGAGTAGCAAGGTACAGCTTGCTATACTAGAGCCGTTCGGTATACAACCGTATAATAATAAATATAATATACCATATAATGAAAGAGCATGAGAGATGCATGAAAAACAAGGCACGTTATACTTTGAAGAGAAAATCAGTCGATAAGGTATTATTTCTTACATAAAATTAAATCGTATATTTTAGTATTCTTTAAATAATCGTATATTACTTAGAAATAAAAAAAAATCTTGGAACAACTTGGTTTAAATCTGAACAATCTTCGAGGCCAGGGCTACAATGGCGCAGTCAACATGTCTGGTTACAAGGTGTTCAAGCATTAATAAAAAAAGGCCAGCCCTTGTATACCCATTGTTATAGTCATAATCCAATCATGCTCTGTACCTACCTTTGGTAAGGAATATGATTGGGAGAGTTAAAGAAGTCACAAACTTTATTAGAGATTCATCGTTAAGAATGAAGACATGTTTATATAAATTAAAAGGTAAAAAATAGTATGTAGCGCGAAAGAAAATTAAAAAATGTGCTAGCACTTAGTCTTGCGCACTTGTCTCTACCTACCTAGTTTTTATGGTATCAAGTCTTATCAGAACTTGGTGAATTGCTACCTGTTATGGTCGACTTTTTAAGTGATCTAGTTCTCATTACAAATAGAATAACATTATCTAAGGCTAATAATTTTATTTAAGCAATCACGTGATTTGAAATTATTGTCTCCCGTTTGTGCAAATAAGTTGATTTCCAGGACTATTTCACTATCCATCAAACTATTGTCCTTGATGTTTATAAAACTTATGAAAGTTACTAATACTTTTGAATTACTTAAAAAAATACAGATATTAGCAAAAGACTTGGAAATGGGAATCAAAAGAGCCAGCATTTTTAAAAAACAGAGTTAATATTCAAGCAGATAATACTAAGCACTATTATAAAGTTGCTGTTTTTATTTCAAACTTTAGCTCATTTATTAAATGAATTAAAAAGTAGATTTCAAAATATACATTAGTTGGGAATTATAGAATATTATACCTAACAAGCTAAATGTTTTAAATGAAAATGTATTTTAAAGGCAGCAGAACGTTACCAAGGTAACCTAACGGGTAGCATATCATAGCTGGAGGGCGAGATAATATTATGGGCTAAACTGAGAAACTCAAACATATTTAACCACGTTATTAGAAGTAAATGAATTCTTTCCAAACACTACTGGGAATATCAGAAGTTATTCTAGTTGTTCGGTAGAGCGATCTTTTTCAGCTCTTCGAATTCTCGAAGGGTATCAATGATGGCAACTGATTGCCTAAATCGCTCTATTGTACATTTACAAGATAATGGAGCTAATCTCGCAGAAGTTTTGGACAACTTTGCTCGATATAATTCTTACAAAATGAAACTAAAAACGAATATATTAAGTAGTTAACTACGCATTATGTTTTCCATATATTAACATTTAATATTCTAACAGAATATTTTTTATGTTTCTGAAGTTGAATTAAATATGTAATGCTTCATACAGTTTATTCAGCGATAGTTCAACGTCACGTCATATGTTGTCTTTTTCATTTAACGACCATTATGACTTAGACTGGTGATGTCATTACAGCAATTCGTAAATTAGTTCGCATTGTTTTTGCCTCAAAGATTTAAAGAAAATGAACAAGGGCCATTGCTAAGTTTATAAATTATTTTTCACGAGAAAGAGTCACTGGCGCAGGTAGAACACTTTTATTTGTTTATTTTACTCGCTCATGTCAGTCCAACGTAGATATAAAAAATGATAAACTGGTGGACTATATTATTTTGTCTTATACCTACTAGGTTGAGAAACTATCAATTTACAATAATTATTTATCAAATCTCTACACAAAAACTATGGATGTGTTTGCCTTTTTTATGATCCAGAAATTGAACTATATGATTTAGTTGAAGACTTATACCCAAACAGGGAATATAACATAAGATTGAGAATTGACCATTTTAACTAATGGAATGATAAAGTATTTTTCGACCGATTTCGGTTTTTCAAAATCGACTGCTATTTTAACTTCCATTGAGGAAGATTTGGTTTGGTTTGGTTTGGTTCGCAATCGAACAGAATGATGGTAATATATTTTTAATTATAAAGGTATTATTTTTCTCAATTCACTTTAGAAGACAATGTTCAAATACAAACTTTACTTTTTACAACATGATCGAAAAAAAACGGCATCAGCGATGGCTTTGAAATGAAGATCATTGCCATTTTATATGGAGAATATCATCAATCGTCATTTCCAAGCCACAGTTTGTTTTAATATTTAATTTTATTTTTTGCTATTTAAATATTATTTAAAAGGACCAAATTTAACAAAATAAAATAAATAAAAAATAAATAAGGTCTTTACTAATACACCAGTGCAATGGCGAAATCTAGCAAATGAATGCTATTCTAATGAGTCCCAAATATATTTTAATATTAATAATCACTGTTCTATTTCAGGAACTTACGTCGTGCTATTAGTTCCTTAAACAAACTTCTCCTCACACTGCGTTTTTTACCGACAGGCGATTTGTATATCGCCATAGGAGGTTTCATTAGTATCCGCAAAACTACTGCAGGCAGAATTATCAAACAAGTAGTTAATGCTCTGTGCAGTATATTCCCACAACATGTATTTCTTCCTCGAACAGAAGAAGAGCAGATGAAAGCAGAAATTGATTTCTTTATGATATCCCGTTTTCCTAGAGTAATAGGAGCAATGGATTGCACCCACATAAAAATTAAATCTCCTGGAGGGGACAATGCGGAAGTTTACCGCAACCGCAAATGATTATTTAGCTTGAATTGTCAAATAGAGTGCCAAATTAAAAATTATAAATTTGGTAAGTCGTTGGCCAGAGTATGCCAGCGACAGTCACATATTTGAGGAACGGGGTTTTACTGGCCAACAGATAAGATTTCCAGTTCTATCTACTGGCTTTAGATGCAAAACAGAATTTGCCCAAATGCCTTTGTGGCTTGCGCTGTGCTTCATAGTATAGCGGTCGACCAGAAAAAAAGGCAGCCACGGCCTTGCTAACACTTGAAAAAAGGGAAGCTCTAGACTATATCTAGTCTACGAGAAACTTCTTAACGTTTCATATAATAACGAATACAATGGTTGAAGTTCAATTACAAATATTAACAGCATTGCCAATAATAATTGTCTATTAAAAATTATTAAAAAACTGGCTGAAAATCTGCCTAACATTTATTTGGAACAATATCCTATATATATTTTAAGTTGAGGGAACAATGCGGAAGTTTACCGCAACTGCAAAGGATTCTTTAGTTTAAATTGTCAAATAGAGTGTAATACCAAATTAAAAATTATAGATTTGGTAAGCCGTTGGCCAGGGTATGCCAACGACAGCCACATATTTGAGGAACGGGGTTTTACTGGCCGACAGAGGCTATGCTATAAAACCATATGTACTCACTCCATTAGATGAACCGCATAATGAGGTAAAAACACAATGGAGTGTCTTTTTGGAGTTTGAAAGATGAGATTTCCAGTTCTATCTTCTGGCATTAGATGCAAAACAGAATTTGCCCAAATGCTTATTGTGGCGTGCGCTGTGCTTCATAATATAGCGGTCGACCAAAAAAAAAAGGCAGACACGGCCTTGCTAACAATGGTTGAAATTCAATTACAAATATTAACATCATTGCCAATAATAATTGTCTATTATAAATCATTAAAAAACTAGCTGAAAATCTGCAAAAACATTTATTTGGAGCTATATCCTATATATTTTTCTTTAATTTTAGGTGACACCCGAATGAATTATTGTAAACATACGAATTCATTATTTATGAGGTATGGGAAAGAGACGATTTTATAGATACGTCGAATGTTCCTTATAAATGTGGAATTGACGATTTAGACTCCGAAGAAGATAGTTCTTCCAGCGATGTTAGTTAGCGAGTCTTGTTAAATGAAGAATCTAACGACGCGACACTATCTAGCCAACTTTTTCAAAATCGGCCTTTACTGAAAATTTTACCAAGTTTCATCTAAAACGATTAGGAAAGCGGATTCTCTCTTACGTTTTACATATAAGGTTGCTTCATTAGATAATTTTCTGTTAGAAATTGGACATTTCCTCCATTTATTTTTTTTTTAAATAACGGTTAATGATATTTCTACTCCATCAACTTCTCTTATTTAGTATGGATACTAAAAAACCGTACTTCCATTGTCTTTGTTTAATCCGACTTACATAACCTTTTGGTCAGATGTAATATTGACTTCTTTGGAGTGTAAACTAATCTAAATTCTAAAAGTATTAAATATATACTAGAATAAGGCATTCACCCGGGCCGGAGGCGGATGCAGTAAAGTTGTCCGCTGAGGATGAGGATATTGGTACATTTGGTAATTGGTTACCATATTGTGGAAAAATCGATAATTGGATTGCAACAGATGTTATTGTTGCTTCATATAAAAACGGCTTCTTTAAATTTACGTTTTTTAATGAGATTCCTTGTAGACAACCCAATCTTCCAACCACTTTATATTGTGCTGCTAAAAGCAAGGAATTATCTGCATTTAAACAGTTTTGTGATTTTTTACAGCAGATGTCAATTTTTATAATTATCGAACAGAAACAACAAACAAGCACTGCCATCACACATACACAAACAACAACTTACTGTACAAAGCAAACCAAATACACAAAGGCCGGCACAAATTGGAATGTTGCCTCAAATTCAGCAAAGGCTATATGCGTTCTATGCAACAAAGACAAAGATCGATTCTGCATGTGACAAATTTATAAGTCTTTTACCATAAAATCGTACAAATGAAGTGAAGGAGAACAAATTGTGTTCAAATTGCCAATCACAATGAATGAAACAAACTCTGGATTTTGCCCAGAAAGTGTTTCAAAAAATATAACATACTTCTTCACGTAGATCACATCAGCGACAGACCTCTCAGTTCAGGTTCAATTTAATTTATCGGAACCATCGACTAGTACAGCAATGTTGTTTGCTAATCGAAAAATTTCACAATAAATTTTACTAGCGACAGCATTAGTAGATACTGTCGTACATAACCAACTTATCACAACGCGTGTACTATTGGATGCTGGATCAGAACTGAATTTTATATTAAATCATGCATAATCTACCCACAATTGCTATTGATTTAACATTACTACAAATATTTACCATATAACCCAGTCTACAGGGCGTTCTAGGTAGCGATTACCACTTTAGGGGGTCGCGTCGGTGTTGGAATTTTTACACACACGGCGTTTTTATAGTTTTAACTTTGAATTTTAATTATGTCCTTTGTTTGAATATTGTTGAATTTTTATTATTGTTATATTTGTGTAATTATTACTATATTTTTATGATCTAGGATATTATACCCTGTAATAGTATTTTTCCGTGACGTTGCTTTGTGATCGGGAAGATTATTTTGTCGGCAATAAAGTATTTGTATTTGTATAACGTAAGCTGGTCCTAAATAAATTCAAAATCCCTTCGAAGATAGACATGCTAATTGAAGCTAAATTTAATTTTACATAATTTTACATAGTGTGCAGCAATCAAATAAAATTGCCAAAAAAATCCCACATTACAAAAATCACATTTCCGTTGCCAACAAACCAAAGGGAAAAACAAAAGGAAGTACTGAAACGCCACGGAGAATCGAACAACTAATAGGGAAAATGTAATGAAAATATGGCCGTTTCTTGCCCATCGTGTCACAATAACAAACGAAGACTTAGACACTAGCCTTAGGAACTTTCGGAAGGTAGAAGAAATCAGTATAAACCAACAAGAAACTCACTAAGAACTGATCTATCAAAATTACTTGAGAACAACACATCAGCGTGATGGAGACGATCGATTTGTTGTGAAGCTACCATTTAAGTCTAATTGAAATAATTTAGGATATTCCAAATCCATAACATTACAAAGGTTCATGCTTCTAAAAAACGACTAGGAAAAGACCAAGTTTTCAATATATGGAATTCAATATACGAATTTTATGCAAGAATACCTCAATTCACACATGGAAAATATTCTACAAGAGAATAGAGAATATTATTATTTGGCGCACCATGCAATCCGGAAAAATGTGGGAAAAAATATTAACCACTAAGTTACGTGTTGTATTTGATGCGTCCTACAACACAGGTGCTGGTATGTTCTTAAATGACATCCTAATAAGGGACCTACTCTACAAGATGACATTTTTAGCATCTTAGTTATGTGAGGGTGCCACATTGTATATCATGACAGCTGACATACAAAAACTGTACCGACAAATTGAAGTACACACTAAAGATGTTTATTTTTAAAAAATAATTTGATACTGTTTTTAGAAACTCAAAAAAGTACAATTTCTATTAAATACAAAAAATATCTATTATCAAAACAAGTGCAAAAAGATGATTTAATAAAAAAGGTAAAATCAAATTTTCAATTTATTTTGTAACCTCTAATAAAAAAGATAGAGATAAAGTAGGTATTTATATGTGGATACATCTGAAAAAAGTGTTATTCTATTTTTTTTCTGGCAAATAAAATGAGTTATAAAAGATTTAGCAAGTTAGCAAGATTTCCTAAATTGAAATAACAGTTTTTGTAGTTCGAGAGGAATTATATTATTATTAATTACAGCCTCATCCTGCCCTTCTACAGCTCCTAAATTACTATTAAAATATTCTTAAAAATATCCCAGAAAAAAATAAAACCTCGGGGCCCTATAAAAACCAACCAAGTTTAGTTTTTCCATCCACTATATAGCATCCACTATAAATTATTACATACAAAAAACATCAAGGTTACGACCAGATATTGACCATTTAATTCTAACTCACAGACGATCGTACCAACCTGCTTCATCACAAACCATCAGCAGATGGATAAAAGCTGCTCTAAAAAGCAGTGGCATTTATACTACGATTTTTAGCGGCCATAGTGTACGTCACGCCGCTACATCTGCTGCCTTTAAGTCAGGGGAAATACTGTATGATCGAGAAAAAACGGCGTCAGCGATGGCTATGCAATGAAAATCGCTGTCATTTTATATGAAAATTTATATGGGAAATGTCATTGATGTTCATTCCCCAGCCAACTGGACGCCGTTCTTTTTCGATCATACGGTATAAATACTATAAAATACACTGCAGGATGGAACGAGTCCTCAATTTTTTTCCAATTTTACAATAGATCAATAGATAGACAACAAAACGGAATTGATACCTGAGCTAATCGATGCCGCAAAAGCCATTACAAGTGCTTACTTAATTACTTTAATTTCTCTCACTACACCGGAGATATTTGATAATGCCTTCATTGAACGAGAACCACCGAAAAGCAGTTCAGAACTCCAATATAGACAAGCACCTATTTGGAACCGATTTACTAGAAACTTTGAAAACTTCGCAAGCAGTGAAAAGAATGGAGCAAGAATTAAGCATCCAAACCGCCAAAAAAACAAAGAACAACTCTGCACAAAGCTATCAACCCTCGCCATCCAGCAAACCAAATTTTCCGAAACAGGCCTCGACCAGCACCAGGTACAAGTACAACCGCAAATCACAAGACTACTACAAGAAGAAATGGGGGAGGAGACACATTGGACGAAACGGCGATAAGTCAAGTTGAGGTAAGCGAGGAATCTGCGGGAAGCCTGCATATACATTTGCAAGCTTGGAAATATTATACAAACAATAACAGTGTTGTAATAAATCGGGTAAAGGGATATAGATAAAAAAAACTTTTTAAAGAGCAATACCACAAACCAACATCCATCTCAACAAGTACCTC